TGATCCAATTAAGGCGCACCTCCAAATTGTATCATAACAAAAAATGGTTAAAATCAAGTAGATCTATAAACGTATGAAAATCTTGAAAATGGATAGTCCAGATAATGTATTGCAAGATGCACAATTTTTTCGACTTTAAAATCTTTTTTTTTTTTTTCATATTCATGCATCTTGATGTCGAGATGAGCAATTAGAGGGTTATTCAATATTAAAACAATATTTTTCGATGGATTTTTGATGTGCATCTGTAGTTCTATATTTGAAAGTTACAACCTTATATAAACTTTTTCCTAAATAAATTAATAAAATTTGGGTTGGGTCCAAGTAGGTTCTACATTAATCCGGACCTAGAGTCCAAGATTTTGACCCAAAACCTACCCGCGTGGACCAAATTTTGGAGCGCCGAGGTCTGGTCTACTCCATGGGTCCGGGTCCATTGCCACCCCCAACCAACCGAGGCATAGAGATGGGACCCTTTGCCTACCCGAAATTCATCCAACTAACAGCAAACGGACGAACTCAAAAATACAGGAGTGCGGTAGCATACATACTTAACTATTCTCGAAAATGGAAGACACAAAGTTCATTTATGGTAGTTGTTGAGGTGAAAATTAGAAAGTGTAGCCACCAATTCCTTGATGTTATTATCAGAAGTGCCCCCCTCGGCCACTGCCTCGGTAGTCAAACCCCTCCACCTGTGTGCATTCCTCCTCAGCTCCGCCCCCCTCTCACCTTCCATGACCTCCCTTATGCACCTTTCCAATTCTCCTTTGCGAATGACTTCGTTTCCGTCGACCTCGGCACAGACGCCGACCTTCCAGACATCGAAAATGAACTTAGAGTTGGTCGGTTGGTCGCTCCGAAGTGGAGCTGCAACCATAGGCACCCCTTGGCTCAGTCCCTCCAGTGTTGAGTTCCATCCGCAGTGAGTCACGAAACAGCCAACAGCTCTATGTGCCAGGACGTCGAGCTGAGGGCACCATGGCACCACAAGCCCTTGCTGAAATGTAGCCTCTAGGAAGCCCTCAGGTAGTTGGTTTCCGCCCTGTTGGTGCGCAAATGGGATCCTCACGACCCAGAGGAATGGCCATTTGCTCGAGCGCAAGGCACTAGCAATCTCCTCCATTTGCTCAACTGACAGAGCCGCGATGCTCCCAAAGGAGACATATACCACTGACCCGACCGGTCTCTCATCTAGCCAGCTGAGGCAATTCACAAGCCTCCCTTGGTCATCTCCTGTACTCGTGGATCTTGCATTTCGACCGACCAAATAGGCCAAAGGGAGTGCCGGGCCGATCATCTTTGGTGACCATGGCTCTGCCGTCTCCTCACTCACTTTTGATTCTAAGCTATCGAACGAGTTCATGAGCACATAATCTGCCTTCTCTATGTTCTTGAACTGGCCCAACAATAAATCGAGGAAGAAACCATTGCCCTCGGACTGGACGATGAATGAGGGTAGATCTTGTAAGCTTAACAGTGGCAATCCCGGAAGAGAATAACGCGCACCAGGCTCTCTCTGCACTACAAGGATGCTCCTATGGCAGAGGGAGTATATTGAGGACACTGCATAAGACTGAGTGAGGAAGGTGACCCCGAGGATGCCATAGGCGTGGGCAACATCTAAGGCCCATGTAAGGAATGAGTCATAAATGAGGCAGACAGGCCGAGGACCCTCTTCATTGAGCCGAGCTATGAGGTCCCCGAGCGTCTGAGAACCGACACGACGGAGAGTGGCCCAATAAGCCTCAGAACTGTAGTCTGATGGTAAGCCATCATCGTGGCCATCAGAGATGTACTCAGTGTTGGTGGAGGTGAGGGCCGATCGGTCGGCCCTGCGAATGTCGTCGCGGCTTCGAACAGGGGCCACGAGAGTGGCCTTGAGGCCCTTGCCGACGAGGCGATCGGCAAACTGGAGCAACGGGTTTATGTGGCCTTGGATTGGATAGGGAAGCAGTAGGACATGAGCACTCTTGGACTTATCTTCCTCCATTTTCAGTGTTTCTTCCACCATTTCACTTGGTTTAAAGGGCTTTTGTATGGAGGAGAAAAGGAAGAAAGAAGAATTCGATTATTCGAGAATTGTTCAATCCAATGGTTTAAAAAGCAGATCGGTGACCCGGGTCGGGCATTTCAAAAACCTATCTGGATCGACGAATCGGCGATCCGGATAGGGAATCGGCTGAATTAGTCGGATTAAAGCTTCAAAAAATTTCAAAAAAATTATTAAAATTCATTATAAATGTTGTTTTTTAGGAATCCAATAAGAAATGAGGGTACTACATTATTAACTTTCATTTTTTCATCAATTTGTGAATATTGAGATGTTCTTTCCCTGTATAAACTTAAGTATTAAATTTGCATCACATAAAAGAAAAATCATAGAATTATCATGGATAAAATATATAATTATACATGGACTATAATAAAGAGTAGACTAAATCAATGAAAGAATGGCCATTAAAATCTCGTTTTGACGAAAAACCCTAATCCGCTAAAAAAACCCAAATTATTACAGTCTAACTAACTATAATTCAAAATTATTACAACCTAACTAATTATAATATTATATACTAAAATTATAATTATTAGTTTACATTTTATAATTATTTTATTAGATAAATAATAACAAATTAAAAATATTTTATAATATTATCTAATTTAAAATATATTATTGACAACTGTAAGAAAAATAGTACATTACATGAATTATAATGTAAAAATTAATAAATAAAATAAAAGATTTGGTTATCAATGTAAAAATTAGTAAAATATGTACAAATTTTAAAAATAACACTTTAATTTATTATATGCCCAAGGGGGAACAAAAATTAGCTCAAGAAGAGATAAACTATTATAGGGCCCAAGGGGGGATTTGATAACCATCATGCCTCCATAGCATATGTGTTTAAAATTGCCTATTAATAACATATATTTACATTCTATTTTCATTTAATGATGTTCGAAAATTATCCCACATTGAAGGATGAGTATATGCTATATAAATAACTATGTAATTGGAAGACAAACACAAGTATGAAAACACTAGGGCATCTGTGCACATGCACGCGTGCATGTGTGTGTCGCACGTGTGGCACAAGTGGGAGTGGTGTGCGTCACACGTGTGACACGTACATATGTGTGACACGTACACATGTGTGAAGGTATTTTTGAGGCCTGAATCGACTGAAACAGGTGCACACGTGCACGTGTGCATGTGTGTGTGGCACGTGTGCATGTGTGTGTGGCACGTGTGGGAGCGGTACAACCGGTGCACATGTGCACGTGTGGGAGTGTGTATCGCTCGTGTCACACGTACACACGTGTGAAGGTGCTTTTGAAGTGATTTTGTTCTAGAATCGGGAGGTTCTCAGTTTTGTGTTGAAATCGGCACACGTGCATGTGCGTGTGCGACACGTGTGGGAGCGTGTGTGGCACGTGTGGGAGTGTGTACCGCTCGTGTCACACGTACACACGTGTGGGAGTGGTGCGTGTCGCACGCGTGAGGCGTACACACGTATGAAGGTGCTTTTGAGGCTAGAACCAGAAGGGAACTGGATAGAATTGGGTGGGAACAGGCGGTTCTGCTCTAGAATAGGGCGGTTCCCGGTTTTGTGCTGAAATCCGCACGTGTGCATGTGCGTGTCACACGTATGGCATGTGTGGGAGTGTGTGTGGCACGTGTGGGAGTGTGTACCGCTGTCACACGTACACACGGGTGGGAGTGGTGCGTGTCGCGCGCGTAACGTGTACACACTTGTGAAGGTGCTTTTGAGGCTAGAACCGGGAGGGAACCGGACAGAACCGGGCGGTTCCCAGTTTTGTGCTGGAACT